GTGCATTGGAAATAACAAAGCATTAATGACTCGACAGTATCATCATTACATATATAATTTCAGTTCACATAATGGTCTGGATCATGAATCAATATTCAGATATTATTATAAGCATATTTACTATGACAGAAAGAAAGGATGCAAAGAAAATAAAGAGAATAATAGGCCTTACAATAAAGCAATGGTGTGCACCGGACTCTGAAAGACCAATTAATTTAAGCAATCAAACCAGCCTTTGTCATCAGGAATAGTGAGCAAACATCTGAATAGATCTTATACTTTCAATGTGTACAACAGGCGGCCACTGATGCATTAAAGGAGAGACAGTATTTATCAGCCCAAAGTGCAAAGGGCTGATAACGAAACAAAACAAAACAAAGTGATTTTTCCCTGAGAGTGTAATTTGGTCTATTCCCAACTTGTTCAAATTCACTCTCTAACAAGATGCCTTTCGGGCCTCTACTGTCTACAGTTAATGTTACTATTTTGACCAACATGATACTTATTTTACACAATATTCAGAGCTTCTCATACATAGTCTTGCATTGGCTGTATCCCACTTTCATACTCCAGAATAGATCAAGGATCAGCAAAGTTTTTCGGTAAAGGGTCAAACAGTAGATTTTTTGGGTTTTGCAGGCCATCCAATCCCTGTCACAACCACTCAACTGCCCCTGTAGTGTGAAATTAACCATAAATGAATGAACAGTAAATGCCTGAGCTTCCTAAGTCTGCTGTACCAAAGTACCATAAACTGTGAGGCTTACAACAACAGAACTTGATTATCTCACACTTCTGGAAGCTAGAAGCCCAAAATCAAGGTGTTGGCAGAGCTATGCTCCCGTTGAAATCTGTAGGGGAGAACCTGTTCTTGCCTTTTCTACCTTCCGGTGCTTGCTGACTATAGATGGTATTCCTTGGCTTGTAGATCCATCACTTCAATTTCTGCCTCTGTGGTCACATGGCAATCTTCTCCCTGTGTATCTTTCCTATTCTTCAAAAGATACTAGTCGTATGAATTAGGGCCCACTCTAATGACTTCATAGTAATTGATTACATCTGCAAAAACCCCATTTCCAAATATGGCCATATTCACTGATACAGAGGATTAGGATTTTAACATATCTCTTTGGGGGGACACAATTCAACCCACAGCATTCATATACTCATTTTGCTCCTTACCTGAGTTGAGTTTCTTGTACTCATTTTATTTTATTATTTATTACTTTTTCTTTATTAAGGTATTACATCTGTGTCCTTAACCCCCCTTGTCTCTCCACCCCTGCTCATGCCCTCACCACCCTGGTATCTGTGTCCATTGGTTATGCTTATATGCATACGTACAAGTCCTTTGGTTGATCTCATTTTAATCACTCACTTCCATACAGTCTCAATTATCTTGCTTATGTAGCAATTTGTTGTTTTACTTTGGCAAACCACACCTGGGTTAAACCCAACTTTCTGTCAACTCCAGGTTTACATCTACACTGTTTTAAATAATTGGAGAACAACTCACTAGCATGCCCTCCAGGATTCTTTTGAACTTATGACCACTAGCCTCACTGGCCCCTTACAGGCATTGTTACACCTAATACCTTTCAACAACACAATCATTTCCCTCTCTCCCGAGTGACTTCTACAACTTTCAACATTTCTTCCCCAACTCTCATTACCAGCTGATGACTTTGCTAGGGAATTCAATGATGAAATAGAAAAAAATCAGGAGACAAATATCACTATTTGCCATCACCACATGTACTACCCACGTATTTGTATATTCGTATTGTCTGTTTTCAAATAGAGAAGGGAAAACAGTAGTTTTTTGCCTGCCACTCCACCACAACTGTTTTTATCAGACTTTTACATGATTAAATCTTACGATTAATTTTCAGACCTCAGTTTAATTGTGCTATTAGCAGAAATGAAGGACATTGATTGTGTCCTTCTTTGGCCTATTTTCTTCATTCATTTTCAGAACTCCACATTCCCTTAGTTTTCCTCCTGCCTCAGTGGTCATTTTCTCTTAGTCTTCATTGCTGGAATCCCCCACAGTTCAGTCCTTGGAATCTTCTCTTTGCTCTATTTACACTTACTCCCTTAGTGACCTCAGTCAGTCTTAAAATATCATCTACAAGATGAATGAGGTTAAGAAAAACTTTGTAGTCTGAAATTTGAATTAGGCATTTTCCATCTGAATTATACATGTCCTAGTTCTCTGCACTGAAAAGATCTAGAAACAATGCCCAACCAAGTGCTGTACCAATAAGTACAACTAGCACTGAAACAGCATTTAAAAAGGAATGATGGCTTCTTCATTATGTGACTGTTACCAGTTGAAGGGATATAAGATAAGCCTGGAATATTTTGTCATGTGAAGAAGCAATGAGACTGTGAAGTCCAGATTGTGCCCAAAAGGCTTAGGAGACAGCTTGAATAAGATCCTAAGAGTCAAATATAAGAAAGTTTGACTATCAATAAGAATAACTGTAACAGTTGAAATATATAGAATAAATTCATGAATTCATATAATAACAGTACAAAAAAATCATATGGTTACCTTCGGATGTTTCTAAGGTACCACTTCAGTACATTTAAAACTGGTATTTACAGGAAAAAGTTATGCATTTATCCTGCCTTTCCTATTCATTATGTTCATTAGAATTATTAAAGCATGAAGACAAATTTCTCTCTAAAGTTGTTTAAACACTCAGAAGAAAAATAATTCTGAGTCTGTCCAACCAAATATCTCATGTATTGGACACACATAAACTAACTTTGGAGAATAAACTATAGCATAGTCCTAAGAAACAAACAAAAGGAAAATGTGATTTCTACCCCAAGTTCCCAAGGAGTTAATTTTTCAAATATATTGATTTCCCTATTGCCTATGAGGCAAAATCCCAACTCTGGAGCCTGGGATATTCAAAGCTCCCATCAGCCCAAAACTATCCCTCCACATATGACCATGGGAATAGAAGCTCTCAGGAGTCCTTGGAAATTGTAAGAAGGCCAATGATTGTCACACCATTATAGGTTGGGCACAACCACTGTATTTGGATATGAGAGGAAAGCATGCCTTCAAAAGGCTAGATGGATGACTTGGGTTGTACAAAGAGCTACATCAAACATGATACCACAGAATTATATTTATATTATACATCTATTCACATCATAAATCCACATCCATCATTTGTGACACAAGTCTAATAATCTTGAGTATATTTTTACTGTAATATTAATATATAGAGAAAACCAGGAGGCACTTCCAGTAAATCTGGCAAAAAAGGAGCATCATTATAGTTTCTAAGCTAAAAATTAATAAAAATAAATACAATTTACCTAATAATTTTTCTGTACAGATTCTACTTTTTACAAAACATGTATCAGCCATTAACTATGTCACTTAACCAACAGTATTTATAATAGGGTGATACAAAGTATTGCTACATATATTAAGCGCAAGAGACAGTTGAGAAGACAGATTTATTTTTTAATTGCAAAATGATTAAGTTCAATGCCTCACTCTTAGGTTTTTAAACATTGATAAATTTGGAAAGGTAACAACATATTCAGTTGTTAAAAGTCATGAGAATTACATTCTCATGTACAAATGACATCCCCTACACTCTTACTTTGGTTGGTAGTTATTTGAAAATATTGCTTTTTAGGAATACTAAATTAATAATCTCTGGTTTGTAAATATCCTACAAATTCAAATATTTGAGACATGCTAATTTCAACTTTCCAATGACAGTTTTATGCCTGGAAGAGGTAACCACTGGTCAGAACAATATGCCTCCTCAGGACTCAACATATTTTAACACCAAAAATTGAGTCAAAGTAAGCAAATCAATCCAAACAAAAACAACTCTGGATTGAAATGGAAATTCTTTCAGTTGCATATCCTAATGTCATTATAGAAAGCCATGGAGAATCTAATTTTCATCATTTTGCATTGACACTTTCAGAATATTTATAAAAGCACCAATTTTCATTTTGTAATTTGCATGATAAAAATCTCTAGGAAGAAATAGCAGGAGATGATGGGTTCAGTGATATTCATTTGCAGTGCTTGTCAACTAATAAATTGTCCTGTTGGAACAAAAATGCTATGAGTTCTGTGAGAATATACCAAGAAATGAACTACACTAAAAAATGAAAACAAACAAACACACACCAGTTAAGCATACATAACATGGTAATAAGCCCATGCAAATATTTTACAGAGTATTAAAAATAGTGACCTTTAATCTAATGAACAAATATGTACTAAAGTTTAAGCCACTTCAATTCCACTAACGGGTAATAGATAGATATGTTAGGGCTATTATTTAAAGACAGTAAGACTACAGTACTGGATTATGCTTATAATAGCTAAAGCAAAGTATCTAACAATATGGGTTTAAAATCATAATCAGTTAAATTTTAAAAGAAAGGTGATGGCAATTATATCAGCAACAAGTTATATACATGAAGAAAAAATCTTTAAGCATTTACTTTTAATTTCACATTGAACCATATGAATAGTTTGTTATTCTAAAGGAGTAAAATTACTAATATTTAAAAAAATCCTTCTTTTCAAAAGTATTCAAGCAGCAGTTTCAAAGCTCCAAGGGCTAATTCACATTCTGAAACATGTGTAAGTGCTGATTGTAGTAAATGAAGTCAGGGTTGAAATATGGATCCATTAAGCAAATAAGTCCCTTTACTCCAGAGTAACTAATAACTAACCAAATTGGTTGTCATAAAATTGAGAGGTGTACTGGGATGATCCTTGAAGTTTTATGTAGTGTTCACTCCCAATCCACAGTTCTGCCTTTTTGTTTTTTATTTTTTCACTTTTTAGTAAGATGGGCTGAACAATAAAACTAGGTGTGCCGAGTTGGAACTTAAGGTAAAAGGCAATCTCCTTATTACAACAGAGGAGAATTTCTAATTATTTTTTTCTTTACTAACTTTGAGTTAGAGAAGTAAAATTGAGGAGAAGCCCTTATTTTTCCCCTATGCCTTTGACTTTATTTTTTTTTTAGAAGACACGAATTCCCTGATTCCCTGCTGTAGTTTCTGTTTCATTGGAAATAGGTATTTCTACTGACACCAAAAATTTAGTTAAAACATTAAAGCTTTACAAATATTTTTAAGTTCTTTTCTATTTATAAATTTCAAATTCCAAGCGACCATTTGATCACTCTTGGCAGATGAATGCAGTGAGTGTGGTTTATTGACTGGTCAGTGTTTCATCTGTGGAAGTCAAGATTAATAAGATTTAACTTTTCTTGGTAATGAAGATAAGTATTTAGGTTTTAAATTGCATTATAATTTAGTAAAATATAACCTCTACCGATATACCATTTATCTTAAAATAAGCTAAAACATGATTAAGTAGCTGGATAATACATCCTTTTTTCTTAAGGTAACTCAGAACTCTGAGTATAATTTGTACACTTAATCTAATTAAATCATTGGGAGTAAATTTCTCTATCACATGCATTTATTAGACTCTTCATAAAAAATTTTTCTCCCTGAGTTAAAGGACATTAGAAAAAAAATAAATATTCATCTTTACAGTTTCCTGTTATATAATACTAGTTCTGATTATATCAATATATTTAGCATCTCTATATCATGGAATGTCATTTTGTGGGTTTCATTTAAGTTGAATAACAAATGAACAGCTTTGGTTAAAAATAAATCAAATGTAAAGATTCTTGAAAGTACATTTGGTGATTAAATATTACTATCTGTGAAGCATTTTTTATTGCATTATTTGCATGATTAAAAATGATTTCTTGATATGAAACCATGAGGAAATCTATCTGAACATGGACATGTTCAGTATTTCTTATCAATAAGAAGGCTTGACTTTTCTTCTGTGTTCCACAGCTCCTCAGTGAAGCAGAAATCCACAGATACCCACACCTGTCAAGGTACTTTACCTTAAAAGTATAATATGGAGAACTTGGATTCTTTTTAGAACGTTAGGCATATGTTAAAAACTAATTTTGTTTTCCATCGATATATCATTTTATATAGTTTATAGTCTTCCCTGTATTCAAGTAATTTATATTGAATCAGTATTTTTAAAGCAAATTAACACTGAGTTCCAACAATAAAACAAATCCTTAATCTTCAGTTTGTATCTTCAAACATGTTTAGCAACAAAATGCCCAGTTATTATTTTTGTCACCTGCTGTTCGAATGACTTGATAGTCTGAACATAAAGATAAGTTTAGGTAAGGTGAAAGAACCCTTAAGTTAGAAAAAAGCAGCATCATTTTGGCAAATGAAATTGCCTAAAATCCAAGGTGCATAACACAGACTGAAAAACATGTTTGTGTTCTTCTCTATGGTTCTCTAGTACGAAACATACACATGCTTATGGAAACTCAATTTAAGTTCTTTAGCTAATGCATGGTTTGTAGCTTCATTTACTCAGTGCTTATAGTTTAAGTAATTCACCCCCAAATTTTCAATAGGAATTTGAATGTTTTCTAGAGGAACAAACTGGTATGAATATAGGACTGGTATTATTTCCCTCTGATTAGAAATTCTAAGAGTAATTTAGTTTTGGAATGCCTTTTACATAACATGGCTAATCTGTCTCCTACATTAAGGTTTTCATTTTGTTGAACAACTAAGAAAAATGAACGGACAATATCAGCAAGTTCACAGTTTTACCTCGCGAAAAAAATCATGAGAGAAATGAATGAACTAGAACAATGGGCATAAAGTATTTTGCTGCTTGTTAGGAGAGAAGGTGAATGAAAGAAACCCAATTTGGTTCAAAGTATGTAGATACTTTAGCTATCAATTATACAGAGTTCAGCTACTAGCACTTAAAATTTGATTTATTTCCCCCCGTAAGCATTACTGATAATCTCTAGAATAAGGAATATCTTGATTTACTCTAGACTATGAAAGTTTGCAGAACTCTGTTGTACTTGAGTCTTATGACAGTTTAAAAGGCAGTTTATTTCTAAAATGGCATATAAACTAGATAAGGCATTAAGTAGAAATCAGGGTTAGGTTAGAAGAAAAGGATGATAAGACTCTTATTGTGGTTTTCATTATTATTTTAGAAATATTGAAAATGAGGACAGTAGAGATCCCCATACTGACACAGAAGCACCAAAAAGACCTTCCAACGTAGAATAGATAATAATTTTTTGATTATTCGCTTCTCATTAGGCAAAAATTGTCCATCACACAAATAGTTCACATTTGTAAAGCAGTTATTTCAAACTTTAAACTTTATTTACAATGATAATTTTCATATCTTTATTACTTAGAAAATAATTTATGTTTTTCCATCATTTAAACAAAGTATAGGCCTGAGACTCATGCCTTTTGCACAGCTTTTACCTTCAAGGAAAGTTCTCTGGGAAAGTGACAGGGACATCAGGAAATCGTGAACCAAGAGAGGCAGGGGACACGAGGAAATCGCAATACATACATGTAATATGAACAGTCTACACGACATGCAACCCCTTTTCTTCAGTTTTACTGGGATTGCAGTGATTGGAACTTGTTCTGAATTCCATCAAAATGGACTGGACAAAATTGGATATTCTGTTTTTATAAAGTGGATATTTTCTTAAACATAATATGAAGAAATTATCTTGTCAGATGAAGACCAATAGATATATCCCTGTACAGGGCTACTGTCTTCATCTTCTGCTGAGAACAAAACCAGGTGTGATATAAATGAGAAAAAAATTACACTTGAAAAACACCTTAAAGTGGTGTTTTCACCAAAGAAACTATTTTAAAAGTTGGCTTAGATGGCTAGAAAGACATCAATATCACTCGTATTACACCTGGTCTTTTCCTCCATGGAGAACCACCACTAGCATCAAGGTCGTTAGTTCCAACCTTTTCTACCATTGGTTTCATGGCTGCCTATACAATTCTCTTTTCCCCTAAATGGGCCAGAAATTCCTTCATTTGAAAGACCTGAGTTTATCTAATGGCACCTATAAATAGACTCCTATAAAAATGTAACAAATTGCAACAAATACACTTCAAGGAATGAATCTCCGCAGTTGGAAGTGAACACAATAATATTGCTGTCATCAAGGAGGGGGGAGAACTTCGCGAGCAGAAATGACTTTCTATGTCCCTAGGCATCCTTGGGGATGTACTGGGTGTGTATGAAAGGGACACATACTTGATGAGTCTCTGTTCCTTCATTTCAATTGACTTCCTGCTTTAATATCTGGATAATTTATTTTTGAAGGAAAATGATCAGTCTGCTTAGACTGATAAACACAACTCTGGAATGAAGAGGTTCCAACTGCTTTGGCCATCATTCCTTCATGTGCTTTAAAACAAAACAAACAAAACAGGCCGTTCACTGAGGCCTGTACTCTGGCCTTTGCTTGGGGTCAAGCCGCTTGGACGAAGCTGCTCATATAAGGTTACAGACTCACATCTGTTCTCCTGCCATTCTACTTGCTCCACACCTAGATCTTTCCTGGACTTATATTTATTTTAGAAAGTATGGCATTTGGAGAAGGGGGAAAAGATCAGTTTGGTGAAGGAACTAGACTTAAGCGGTATGTGAGCCTAAATCCTTCTTTTTTCTTTCTCTTATTAGCAAGGGAAGAATAGTTAAGTTCATTGGGGAAATGTACTGACTCAAAATAACTTTTGCAAACATAAAGGCACGTAGGCAATACTAAGAAAATGGAAAACTCAGTAAGTCCTAAATAATGAAGACAAAAAAAAAAAAAGCAAATATCCTCATTATTTAGAGTCGGCAACAATTTCATCCTTTCAATATTTTCATACTAATTTCATCCTTTCAATATTTTCATACTTATTGGAAAATCTGCCTTGAAACCATGTTATTTTTTATTGTATTATCTTTGCCTTGTTTGACAAATGTCGTGAATTACTGTAAAATCATTGCTTTGGAAGGGAAAGATAATCATTTATGAGAAACAAAGGCATGTTTAATGTAAACGCTCTTTTCTATGACTTCAGAGGAAATAAAAAGTAAAAATCACAATCAAGACTTACTTAGGAGCTTGCTTAGATGACGAGCAGGTCTGTCTATCGTACTGAAGGAAGAGTTACACCCAAAAGGTGTTGGGAAGAAATGGACACCAATGATAAGCATTCGGTGTTGTTTAAAAAGTCTTTCCCTTGGGAGTCATGGACCCAAACGCTACCCAAAAGTTAGCAAAAGTTACTGGTGAAAAAACATTCTTGCAGCATCCTCATTTAATTGGCACAAAATAACTGTATCAGATGATCATTTATATTAGAGTAGGTAGAAGAGCGGCTGTCCAAAGACCTCCATGCAAATGAATCATCACTCTCTTACTGGGCTTGGAGATAGCTTCAATGTATAAAAATGGTGATTAAAATGTAACTTTATAAAAATGTTTCATTTTCCCTTTTGTTTTTTAAAAAAAGTTTACTATCTACAGAAACAAAAAAATCTTTATATTTACATCAAGATAACTATTCATGACAAATATAATAATATGAAATAAAATATTGAAAGTGAGTATCAACTTTTTAAATAGAGGTTTGGCTCACAGCATAAACAAGTGTAGATAAACAAATAAACCAAAAAAAAAAAAAGACTTTCAGTAATAGGCCCAGTCCCCCCAAACCCTTCCATACTCTTCCCTGCCAAAAGAAGCATGACAATGGGCCAGATTGCAGATAGAAGCTACCCCATCACACAGCGTGTGGAATACCACCACAGGGTGGGTCCGTGGGCCCTTTGCCACCCAAAAGCCAATCTTCAACAGCTGCCGGGAATCGGGCTTTCCCTGTGTCAACCAATACCAAACCCTAGTTTGAAAGTCTCCCCATTCATCTCTCACATGGTTTCTGTTTGCCTTCCTTTCTTTTTCTGTTTTCTACCAGGCACAGTTTGTAGCAGATTAAGACATGGGGATCACCGTGAAGAGCAATTCCCAGGTCTTCTCTGGAAAACCTTTTAGAATTCTCACCTGATGAAAAGACTGGACTCTAGCTTATTCCTAGGTGTTTATGCATAAAGAATGCCATCCCCTTAATAGTGATTTGATCTTAGGTGAGTGACAGGCATACTCGCAGACAAACAGCCCCGACACATGCATTAGGCCAGTAGATTGGAAAATGCCTCAGTCTTCCACGTCTAAGGCTGGTGACGGAGAGCCTCCAAGCGGTGTTTAGCAGCAGTACCCATCACGTGGCCCTCTCACCCAGCCCGTGAACACCCCTCCCTCTGCAGAGGGACCTTTATTGAAGCTAAATGGAGGAAGGCATTGGGAATGGCTGCCTCTCAAAGACACTCCAGAGTGAACTTCCCTCCGTTTGTTCACATGTGTTGAGTCATCTGCTGGTGGAATTCTATAAATTACTAACCACAAAAATCTCTCTTTACAGACACATTAACATCCATACCCACAAACACACCATCAGTTCTCTCTCTCTCTAACACACACACACACACACACACACACACACACACACACACACACACACACACACAATGTTGGTAGGGTGTACAAGAATTCAAATAATTCTCTGGAACGTTCATCCCTCAGTCTTAAGAGCAAAAGCTTCTTAGTTGTAACCTACATTGGCTGCCCTGTTCCCTGCTAAGCCTCACCATTTCCTTCGTTTTCCTTTATTTTTTCTTTTTACGATTTATTATATCACAGTGACCACTATATATCTTAATATGAATGTTACTAAAACGTGGAGCCAGTACTTCTGGCTTTCAGTGTGTATGTGTGTTGTGTGTGTGTGAATATATTTTACATGTATCTATGTGAGAGCTTATATACACACACACATATATATTTCTTCCTTTAAAAAAAAAATCTTTAGAAGCTGGTGTTGCAACGTGAAAGCTTCTCTGAGCAAGAGTTTTTAACCATGTACCTCACTGTAAAAATAAACACATACAATGCGAAGACTCCCCAAATGCAATGGCCATTTGCTCATCTTCTCGTATTTCTACAGTGTTGTGTCTAAGTGTTGTGCTGGCTTGGAAAGAGTCTGTGACAAGTCACTGGGTTTCGAGGCAGAGCTCATTCTATCCACTGTCACTGGTTTGGCTGTGGGGTTAGGGTCTCCTCTTCTCTCGGCTTCCCCTTTTCTTCTTCTTCTTCCCTGATGGCCTGGATGTGTTCTGAGGAGTGCTGTTGGGGAGACTGGCCCGGGGACTGGCTTTCGATTCCCGCCAACCGCTGCTCCTCTTCAATGACTTTCTTCCACATCGTGTGGTTCTGCACGAGGTGCTGAGTTATTTGGCAGCAGATTTTCCTCCTTTTGAAAGTTTTCTTTCCTGAGAAAACACCAAATTAGACTACTTATTTGTGTGCTGAACACAACAGTTATTTCTTTTCACATGATTTATAGGAATTAAGTACCAAATGGATACAGATATCTATCATTGGACTTGTGTCTGGTAATAATGTCATTTCCAGAATGGGGAGAGAAGAGGGAGATGGCGGTCACCATTACGATAGCATGGAGACAGGACTCTGAATGGCAGTTGATATTTGGGAATGTCAATACAAGGTTCTTTGTATTGGTAGCTTGGTATTACGCCCACTCCTCCAGAATCTCAAGACTTTTCACCAAAAGATGACTAACATAACTTCTTGCTATGTCTTCCTTTACTTTGTCAACCACTTCAACTCACAAGAGTCCACACAATTGATTTCTTTAAAGAGGGTTTTGATGTTCCTGCTCTGCTTCCTGTGCACTAATACATTAATTTCAAACTCCTCTCAAAGTTTTCCCACAAGCTGACACAAACACACTTTTGCAGTCTTCCTCCATCCGCAGGCTGGTTTGTATCTGTACTTACCTGCTCCCTTTTCTGTATATACACTGAACACTTCTACTTTCTAGCTGGTACAGCCCCTCCTTCTGAAATGCTCTTTTTAGTCACTGGAAGTTCATGTCCATTTATTATTTTGAGATCCAGTCACATTCATTGAATTCCTCTTCTAAGTAAAATCTTTCAATCTCTCTCTCTCTCTTAAACTCTCTTGTCACTCTATATATGCTTCTCATAGTAGATAGTAGTTTTTTTTTAATTTCTCATTATCATTATCTCTTTTTCTGGTAACTACATATCCAAAATCATTTAGGGAGAGTGACCCTTTCTTTCAGTTACATAGTTCTGGAAAAGGAGATCAAATTCAACTTCCCCACCCACTTCCGACAACATAGCTGTGTCCTAGTGATTGGCCAGTGCACAGGTATGGAACCTAATTCAGGCCTATCAGAGTCCTTCCCTGGGACTTTTACTATTGGTGCAACGTGAGCATGAGGTCTGGGAGTCAGGATTGGAGATCTTTTCTTCTCTGCTAATGTATTTGAAATGAAGTTAATATAGAGCAAGACAGAAAGAACAAGTCGCTAGGCAGATGAGTCAGAGATAAGAACAGGAGCAAGTAAGCTCTAATACCAGCCAACATTATGTTTACATGAACCAATAATTTCCCTTTTGTATATATTCATTTGATTAAAGTTTTGTCACTTGTATCAAAAACAATGTCCTAAATGCTCGAAGGCACTTACCTTATTCTCATAGATTCCAGCTCCTTTATTAGACTACAGCCTCTCTGAGGGAGGCTTGTGAAGATCTGCACAGATCTTATACATGGCAAGGCTCAGCAAATACGCATTTCATAAATAAACAGATTACATTTACTTGTGTCCAAACAATTTAATGTTCTCAATATAGAAGAACTGAAGACAATTTTCATAGAATTGCATGTCTTGATTGAAGAAATATAATAAAATTAGTTTCAAGGGAAGAAACACAAGATGCTTTAAATAATTTGCCTTGGTGTCATAATTTACTATTTAGGCTTCTAATTCCTTATGTATTTATTCAGCACCTAATCTGTACTACGTGTGCCACTGTCTGGTGATTCACTGATAGGCGAGATAGATATAATACATGCCAGCATGGAGCTTTCACTCTAGTGGGGATATATAGAGTGAACAAGTTGCTACAATTATATTGAGTCTTTGAAAGGTAGCAGACTCAGAGGGAAATGTCTCACCTGGAGGATTCTGCATGATGACGGTGGCTTGGACTAAGATGGGGGTAATGAAAATGAAGATAGATGAATGGGGACATATTTGTGAAGCTCAATCAATACGACTTTGGCAACTGATTAGATGTAGGAAATAAGAGGGAGGAATCAAAGACAACCCTAAACTGTCTGGCCGGAGCAGCTGAGTAGATGGGGATATGATGTCCTGAGAAAGGGAGCATCAGATGAGGAGCAGATTTGAGGGGTATATTGAACATAAAATGTCGGAGAGACCTATAAGAGGAGGGGTAAAGTAGGCAGCTGACCTTGAGCTGAGAAGAGAGGGCTGTTCTGTTCTAAGCTTCCAGAATATAATGTAACTCTCAGTATTTTCATCTGGGTGACCATTTTAGACTCAGGTGAAGAATTTATAAATTAGGCTAAATCCTACCATTAGATTGTAAGCTTCCCTATGGAAAGAAGCAATTCCCCCCTTTTGTGTGTATATCCACAAAGCTCCAGCCTTTTGTAAGTATTCAATAGAAGTTTAGCAAATGAATCATGTTCACTCTAGTTTCTGTTCCACAGTTGCAAGTAAATGATGAAGTATTGATAAGTGATAAAAATGGTATAATGATTTGAAAAAGCGGTCCACAGGAAATTCTGATCTTCTTGAGACTATATCAAAGAGTTACCAGTACAAGTTATCACATGTTCAGATATTTGGGTTTCCTTAATGAAGTGGTAATGATTTACAATGTATAATCTGGAAGAAAGAATTAGAAAAAGAGTAGGAAGAAGAAAAGGAGGAAGAGGAAGAAGAAGAGGAGGAGGAAGAGGAGGAGGAGGAGGAGGAGGAGGGGGGGGAGGAAGAAGTGGAGAAAACAGTAACAATAGCAAAAAAAAAAAATGAAAAAGTCAATTGCTATGAGATGTGCCATAGGAACTAGTTGTCTTGGAGGTCCTACAGCAGAATTTTTGTGGAAGTGCTAATGATTGCTACAATGGTTTTATTTTAATATACCACTGGAATATTTTGTACTTTATAGGACAAGATCAATTTTTAAAACACAGTTCAGAAACAAGACATGAAATAAAAAATAATCTTGAATTACTTTTGAACCATATAGACACATAACAAAACTGGTTAAATGGTTAAATGGATACAGGCAGTCTTAAGCAAGAATTAAAAAATATATATTTACTTTACTCATTATTTTATTTGTGAAATGGACCCATCAATCAAACCTATATTGACCACCTACTAACTGACAGACAGTTTCCTGGATGCTATGGAAACAATGACCAATTTGCTTCAGAGCTTGTATAATCTATAGGCCAGAAAGCCAAGAAGACAAAAAATGAAATACACATGCAATATTTTATAACAGACATACTCATGTGACCAAGATGGCTTTAATGTTCCGCTCAGCTTGAATAAACTTTAGACAGGTTTTTTTCAAGTTTTATAAAATAAAAAGGGAGGTGAGCTTTAAACTGCTAATTCTTTATCTGACCCCTTGTAATCTCTCTCTCTCTCTCTCTCTCTCTCTCT